ACGCATCCATCTATTTCCCCTTTAGCCCACGGTTTTAACGCCGCATGCAAATCCACCCTCGTCCTCGTTGTATCTCAGATCTCATCCTCACCACATCAAGACATACCCCTCTCATTGCCGCTGCAGCCAGATCTGGAGCGGCTGCAAAGGCGATTGTGGGCGTGATATCGCCCCCGGCCATGGTGAACTCGGAGAAGCCGTCGCCCGCGGCTTTCCCTTCGGATCTCACCAAGGAAGGCGGTGCTACGGAGGCGGGGGGCAGGGCCGCGGAGATAGTTACAACGTCGTCGAGTCCCCACCGCGGGAGGCTGATGTCGCTACCATCAATGCTCAAGCCCTGGGGAAGCCAACGGCTGCTGCGGTGTGTTCCGGTGAACCGCCATGGCGAACCCATCGCCCCGGACACGGGATCCTCCTCGGATCAGCAATATGAGGTCAGCGAGAGGCTACAGCTTGGCGTCGGCAAAGTGGAAGAGGCGCCAGGCACTGGCAACCCCACAGTCGACAAGTACCCTGAGGTCACCGAGGAGGTTTCTCCACAGCTATTGAAGGCACGCCCTGGCCGCCGCCGCCACCTTGCTATGCCATCCCACGCGGCCACGACCGTCGTGAGTGCATCGTCGCAGGCATTCGAGCGCGAGCGGAGGTCGGTCCGCGCCGATGCGCTCAACAGGCCACGATTCTCCATATCACTCTCCGCGAAGGAGATTGAGGAAGACATCTACGGCCTCACCGGCGCACTCCCATGTAGTCGCCCTCGCCGTCGGCCCCGCAAAGTGCAAAAGCAGCTCGATGTGAGTTCCCGTGCCTCCTCTAATCCCTCCCTTGACCCCCTTACGTTCCAGCCCCTGCCCCTCCTCCATACGGACCCGTTTTTAATTCCATAAACGCTCCTGTCCCCAGCTGCTATTTCCTGGCGCGCGGTTATCGCAGATCAACGTGGAGTCCTACCGGGTGCCGGACAATCGCTGACCCTGTCAACTCAACAAGCGCCTCGACCAAACAGTAAGCAAGCAAAGTGGATTCGCAGATCACAATTCACCTTCAATTGGGTGCTGCCATTGTTAGCTACATAATCCATCGATTAATTGTTCAGATAGAGTCAGAGTTGGTATGTATGGATCCCACCAGGAAACTAGTTGTAAGCAGCAAGTGATGACTTGTTAGTGATTTCTAATTTTGAGTTGTACTCCGTGATATTCATTTCCGTAATAGCACTAGTGGTGGTTCGTTACTTTGGTATCATCAGCAATTGGAAGGACGTAATGTGGTGTACTAGTAATTGCATTGCTCTTGATGCTCAGTATGTTCGTTGATGCTAGTACATTCGTTCACATACATCCCTATTGCAATCTCAATGCTAGTACCAGCTTCAGTGCATACAATTTCTTGCTATTTTTTCTCTAGAAGATGTTTTTGCTAGCTAACCGCAGTGGCGAGTGCTAGTACTGCTTGGTCACGTTGTAGCTGGTTGACATGTGGGGCCGGGACCAAAAGGTTTCGAAAACCCTGGCACCGTGTGGTCTTGCCAGAGGGTGCTGCGTAGTTCGTCACTTGTTTCCTGATTCCTCGTGGGGTTGGCGTGTCTGGGAGACCCGAGTGAGGTAACTAAATGGCATACATGTATCCAAACCCTTGTGGTCCCTATCGTCGTCCTGGAGCGTCCCAGGGTTCGCTGACGCCGCATGGTCCATACGCTTTCTGGGTGTGAGTGGGGCTAATGGATGGGCACAATTCGTGCACACGTTTTTTATGGGATCAAGTCGGGTTATTTCTTTGTTCTACCAGAGAGACTATTCCTACAGTTTTCATGTCTTTTGTGACAATGCTATGTTTTGCACTTCCAAACCTATCAGATTCATTTCTTATTCGTATTCCTAATACCTTTGATTCATCTCAAGTCATTTATTGTCTATTTGAAATGATGTATTTCATAATAAATTTCCATGCAACTCAACCAAAAGATTCATAGCATATCTCCAACCCAAAATAGGTGGCATAAATTTCAAACGATTTACCCAAAGCAATTGTTTTTTTATGGCTGATGCTTATAGCTGTTGAGGAGGAACTATCGTTACAATGTCGTGCCGCAAGTGTCGTCCGTAAAGCAATTTCACTCGAACTTTTTCGTGTCATCTAAGCCATTTCCACTCAATCGTTACGAGGCATCTTTTCTAATCGGATGCAGCTGTAGGCCTTGCTCATATGTCAATGGTCCAAGGACACAAGTAAATCAGGGAGACTTTTATGAGATCCCACATTTAGGTGAGATCGTGAGATCAACCTAAAAAAGGAAATCATATTTAGATTAAAAAATTCTGAATTATTTGACAACATCCACGTGGGGTATGTTTACATCTCCAAAAAATCAGATCTAAACTCAATGTACAAAATTGCTACTATTCACATTCAAATTTGTCCTTTTTTTTCTATTAATGTAAGTTGAATTTGAAGCTGAATTTTTTTAAGGTTGTACATCAAACATTGTTGTGTGTTTAAAAAATTGAAAATATTCGAACATTTTTTTTTAAAATGGATCTCATAGAAATCATGTAATAGATATCACAAGTATAAATGGCCATCCTTTTGGCCGGGCCTAACCAAGCTCGAGGAAGAAAACCTAGACCCGGGCCTGGCCTGGCCGTCAGGCCTACGTTTCAAGCCGAAGCCTAGCCCGTTAGAGGAAAATCCCCCCGGGCCTCGGGCCGAGCCTCTTCCCTAAACAAAATACCCAAGACCAGACCCGGCCCAATGTGTGCTTCAGGCTCAAAACTTAGGCACATGCCCAGCCCTCGGGCAAGCCCAGGCCAAGTTGGGTCGAGCTTTTTTGGGCCGGGTCGGGTCGGGCCGGACGGGCCGGGTATCCGGTGAGCAGGTATACTCACAAGTCTCCTAAGTAGATCGGCAGTTCGGCACATGATCCCTAGAAAAAAAGGTAGATCGGCACACGAGATGCCGAGCCGCCGAGGAAACCCCCTCAAAAAAAGACACTGAGGAAACCCTCGCGCATCTCCGCCGCCGACCATGGCGGGCGCTCCCGCAATCGTCGCCGCAGCCGATTCTTAAGACCGCGATTGGGCGGGGCTGCCGGAGGAAATACTCCTGATGTTCATGCGGGAGCTGGAGATCCCCAACCTCGTCCGCTCGGGTGCTGTCTGCGCCTCGTGGCATGCTGCTTACCTAGCCGTCCGCCGCCATCGCTTCCCCCTTCCGATCCCCCGGAATTAGCTCCCCTGCCTGGTCTACGCATGCCGCAATTCCGCCGCAGACGGCGCCGTCGTCTGCTGCCCCTTCACCGGCGACTCCGTCCGAGTCCCCCTGCCGCAGCCCCCGCTCACCCGCCACTCCACGGTCGGCTCCGCGCATGGCTGGCTCGTCACCGCCGACGAGGCCTCCAACCTCCACCTCCTCAATCCTATCACGGGCGCCCACGTCGCGCTCCCGCCCATCGCCACTCTCCACCACGTCGAGAGCTGCACCGACGCCCAAGGCCGCCTCATGTACAACGTCTTCGACAGGGGCGATCCCGAGCCGACCCCCTTTGACGCGCGCGAGGCCAGGGACTACATGTACCACCGTGTCACCCTCTCGTGCAGCCCGGCGGCTGGGAGCACCTGCATCGTGCTGCTGGTGCACATGCCAATCGGCGAGCTCTCCTACGCCCGGCTCGGCGACGAGCGGTGGACCTGGATCTCGCCCGACGACCACCAGCTCATGGCCATCAGCTGGGGCTTCATGGACTCTTTCTACAATGAGGATGATGGTTTGTTCTATGTGCTTCGCAGCCACAGATCGGTTTTCACCCTCAATTTCAATGGGCCATCTCTTGTTGTCAAAAAGATCATGCGCAGAGTTAGGAAGGGGGATGATCCTTCTAGCATGTACATCATGCAAGCTCCATGGGGTGATATTTTGCAAATATGGAGGTGGAGGAGCTACGTCGATTCATCAACACCCGTGGAGCTTCCTAGAGATCTGCTGGGTCACAACGAAGATGACATAGACCGGTATATTGAGCTCAGAACAACTGAAATAGAGGTCTATAAGGTGGACCTTGAGAACCAGGCACTTGTGAAGATGACAAGCTTAGCGGATCATGCACTATTCCTTGGTTATAATAGCTCCATGTGCTTTGCCACTAAAGATTTTCCAACACTGAAGCCGAACTGTGTCTATATCACGGATGACTCTGTTGAGTATGTCAACATGTGTAAGCATAACTGGCGAGAAATCGGAGTTTGGGATATAGAAAACAAGAGTCTGCAGACTTTTGATAGTGTTTTGCTTACTATTTCCTGGATGAACTGGCCTTCTTCGGTTTGGATAACACCCTCCCTTTTCTAGTAAGTGACTTTTTATTTAGTGATGCCATTGTAGACATTGCAGACTTGTTTTGGCTTTCATTATTGTCAAATTTTTCGTTGTATTACAGCTTAACAATTTGAGTTTTGTCCCACAACTATATCAATTCTCTCTCTCTATATATATATATATTAAGTTATGAACTTTTCCCTATGTATCACTGGATAATTTTTGGCTTGATTATTGTCATTTTTTTGTTGTATTATAGATTAGTAATTTGATTTCCCCCCCACAATTAAATCAATTTTCTCTATATATTAGTTCCTATGTATTAGTGGATAACAATTTTGGGTTCTGTTAACACCATTCCACTAATCTCTTGTTAGAGCCATGTAGTTTATGTAAAGACCAGTCTAATTCGCTTTTGGGACCAGAGTGAATGACAATAACTTTCTATTCGTGTTTGGCACCAAAGTGAAGGATAGTAATGACAACTTTTCATGTGATTTAACAGAACTCCACTAACATTAGGTTTTTACACACCAGTATTAAGAGCTCAAAACTTGTACTAGGAAATAACCCGTTTTTCACCTATTTTAAAAATCATTACATCTAAAAACTATTACGGCCACTTCCTACTATGTCCAAGTTCCGATCCTTCCCGATTTCTTCGCACCAAGTAAATCGATCTGTTATACACTTTGGTCCTCAGCAGTAAATGGAGTTTCTTCCTTGCCACAAATGGTGTGGTTTGCAATCCAAAAAATGAACCAAAAATCCACCTGAATAGCTTATTATGGAAGAATACAGATCTTGGTATTTTCATTAAAGTAATACCAAAATGGCAGCAAAGGTCAGCATCATGGTGTCGAAAGTTTTTCTTTATAAAGGATACGTACAACAGAAGAATCCAGAGGAGATGACACCCAGCATGCTCCTCTTTCTGAAGCAAACTTCTTGTCTATGTACACAATGGTAGCATGGAATGGGCACTGGTAGTGCAATGATTCCAAGGCCTTCTACTGAGCCAGATATTTATGCAGTATGTACAAACCAAAGTATATAATACACGCTAAGCTGGTGGGGCTAGAATTGCATAACTGATCACTACATATAATTGCATAGAAAGTCCATCACAATAGATGTGAAAGCGATACAGAGACTAACATTATTTGTTATTACTGCTGGGGAGTGGGGATAGTACTCATCTTTCTCCGCTGGATGCACCATCCGAGTAAAACTAGACACCATTACATTTTCTCTACACATTATGCAATGGAACAAGGGTAATAGAAGGAAGGGTCCCATCAAAACCTTATTAAATTATTGAGTCTAGCATGTTTCTCTCTGTTTTAACACACCATGGAACACATGAATCAATTTATCTTGGGAGAAGGGAGCACTCCTGCAAGGCATAGTATGTATGTATATAAAGAAAACACAGTAAAATTCCAATTGAAGTAGCACCCAGACCTTTTTAGTATTTTACATTTAGGGCAAAGCTAGCGTGAATATGGTACAGCTAATATTTGGAATCACATCAACGCAATAAGCTACATAAATAAACATGGATATTTATATCTTTATTGATTAACCTCAAAAATCTATATGGCATTCAGTGTTTACTAAATAGAACAAAATCTTAAAATGATTTGTACAGTTAGTGATTATCCTCTGTAGAAGTTCTGCAAAATTGTTGTAAAAGGCAATCTCACTAAATATAGCAGTATCTTCTGTGTATAAACCTCATGCTCTTAACGGCTTGGACTTTTGCATGATAAAGCACAAGTGCTCCAGAAAGATTCACCAATTAGATCTCACTGATCATTTAGAATCATATATCTAGTCTCTCACTTTGCTTGAGTCATGTGGAACACCATGGCTCTCTCTGTTCTCAAACATTAGATCATCATAATGAAGCAATGGTAACATGCCTGAAACAAAAGATGATGGCCTAGGAACAATCAAATAAGGTTCCCCACACAGTTTAACATCCATACCTATTATACTGAACTTCCTTGATCATTGTGGAAAGCGGTGAGCAATGATCTCAAGTACCAATTAATAAATCATATGAATCAATGATCACACACCTGAAACAAAAGGCAAAAATTAGATATTAGCTTGTAATCCGTGAGCGCTCCTATTGGCAGAAAACATGAAGTGCTCCACCTCAAAGCTGACCTTCCATTTCATTTCAGGTACTCAACTAGCAGAGAAAGGCGCACAAAATTCTAATTACAAATGGATTTTTCAGCTCAATTAAACAACAATCTAGAGCTGAAGTATGTATGCATTGGACCCTAAAGACTTGAAGCCATTGAATAGCTGCTGCGATGCTTAGATTTCTGTTTTTGGTTCTAAGCTTCATAAGAAGATGCGAGACTCTAATATTTTTGTTGTGGGATCTGGTGCTCTTGGATGTGAATTCTTGAAGAACTTTGCTTTAATGGGGCTTTCTTGTGGCCGTAAAGGGAAGCTAACTGTTGAACCGGTATGGGCCCTAGCCCATCAAGATCTGTCTCTTGGGCCCAAGCCCATGAGAGGTGCTGACCTAGAAGAGCAGCCCCTCTTCCCTTCTCCCGTGTGAGCCTCCACATCTGAGACACACACTCACGCAGGAAACAAGACAGGAAGCGAGGCTGCTGTCTGAAGGTATCCATCTCCCGATTCGACATGGTATCAGAGCCAGACGACGACGGTGACGGCGTAGTCCCTCGCCGGAGAGGCGGCGGTGGGGCCCAGTGGGGTCAGGCGAGAAAGGAGGCTGCGTGCATGCCCGAGGCGGCGGGTCTGCTGTGGTGCATGCGGCGGCGGCGTGGCTGGGCTCGAGGAGCTGCGACGCGGCCAGGAAGGTGCTGCTTCCTCTTGTCCTGCTTCGCGTCCCTGGGGTGGCTAGCTGCAAAGGGGCCGGCCGAGGAGGGCTGCTGCGAGCTGTGCAGGCGGTTGCGGCAAGAAGAGGAGGAGGAAGAAGGCAACGGCGAATTTGGGCTGTGTGCGAGTCACGCTGCGTCGGGGAGCTGCTGCTGTTGGTGCTGCTGAACAGAAGAGGAACTGCAGCTGTTGCTGCTGCCTTGTGTTGTTCCTGGAAGCTTGCTGAGCTGCTGGTGCTTGTGCGGCTGGTTCTTGGTGCTGCGGCAGAGGAAGAAAGAAGTGCAGCCTGCTGGACTGCTCATTCTGGAACAGGAAGAGGCTGGGCTGGACCGCTTGTGTGCTTTACAGAGATTTTTTTTCTCTGTGGACTTGTTGTTGTGAGCTTGGTGTTGTTGTGGTGGTGGTGCTGCTGCTTGGGAAAGAAGACTCTCTGAGGCTGAGTTTTGTTGTTGCTGCTTATCCTGTCAAACGATGGCTGAACCAACTGGTCTTGCCGAGGCTTTGGAGAAGCTCGCTAAGATCCTCACGGAGTCCAACTCTAGGGCCATCGTTCCTCGACAGGAAGTAGCTCAAAAGCTTGAAATGTCGCCCTGGACATGAAGCTAGAAGGGGCAACAAATTATTTGAGCTGGTCCAGGAGGGCTTTGTGGGCTGTGGAGCAGAAGGAGCTTGATGGATATTTGTTGGGCACCGTTGTAGAACCAGGGGACAAGCGTAGTGCAGAGGGAAAGAGGTGGAAGGTCATCCACTCTGTACTTATGGTGTGGTTGTTGAACTCTGTAATGCCCTCCATTGGACGCTCTGTGGAGGGGCTATCCTCACCTGCTGATATATGGAAGATTCTGTCCACTCAATACTCTCGCAAGGGCAATGTCATGCTCATTGCTCAGATTGAGGACAAGATTAGGTTGCTGCGCCAAGATGATGGCATGTCAGTGATGACATATGTGGCAGAACTGCAGGCTCTGTGGGCTGACCAGGATAGCTGTGATCCCCTGGAACTCTATGACGCGGCTTCAATCGAGTCAGGGCATAAGTGGATGGCACGCAGGCGTGTGCTGAAATTTTTGGCTGGCCTCAAAGGTTGCTTTGATGGCAGGAAGGCTTCCTTGTTGCACCAACCTAGTCTGCCTACCATTCCCGAGGCTATTGCAGCGATGACTCAAGAGGAGGTGCGCCTATCCCTTGAGCATGCAGACGTGAAGGTTGTGCCAGCTTCGACATTTGCAGTCACTGAGAGCATGGAGTGGGGAGATCCCACCAAATGTCATATATGTGGGGAGGTAGGTCACTGGAAGAGAGAATGTCCAACTCGTGGTAGAGGCAGGGGATATAACAGAGGGGGAACAGGCAGAGGTAGAAGTGCTAGAGGCAGAGGTGGATACTCAGAGACCTCATGGGGCCAGGCTTCTAGAGGCAGAGGTGGCTACTCAGGACACTCAGGGGGTCAGAGGGCTCACATGGCCGTTGCAGGAGACACTGGGACGTCCAAAGGCAAAGATGTAGATGATGTTGTCTATGGAGACTTTGCTCACTGGGCCTCCACTGATGAAGGTAATCTGGAAAGAGCATCTCTTGCTACTAATGAGAGTGCCCCAGAGTGGGTTCTTGACTCTGGAGCATCTAAGCATGTTGCTAGTAACTCCTGTGTGTTCGAGTCTTACACTAAGCATCCTCCCTCTCACACGAGCACTATACAAACGGCTGATGGCACAAAACAACCAGTCATAGGGGTTGGTACAGTCAAGTGTACTCCGACCATTTCCCAATCGTCAGTTTTACATGTGCCAGCCTTTCCTGTCAATTTGGTCTCTTTCAGTGCACTCATTGATCAAATGGACTGTCGTGTGATCCTTGACAAGTTTGGTTGCTTGATTCAGGTGCGACAGACGAGCCAGACGGTTGGGACTGGCACCAGGCGTAGGGGGCTCTGGTACATGGACCAGGAGGTGCAGCCGGACTTGGTGTGTGCTGCAACCATGGAGGATAAGGAGAAGCAGGCGATGATCCATCACTATAGGATGGGGCATGTATCTTTTGATAAGATGAATAGAATATTTCCGGATGTTATGTGTGGAATAGGCAAAGGCAAGCTGACATGTGATGCTTGTGAATATGCAAAACACACACGGGCCTCATATGTGAGTAAGGGGCTCAGGAGCATATCTCCTTTTATGCTTATTCATTCGGATGTATGGACTAGCCCAGTGGTGTCAATGAATGGGAAGAAGTATTTTGCTACCTTTATTGACTGCTATTCTCGCATGACTTGGATTTACTTGATGCGTCACAAGGATGAGGTGTTTAGCTGTTTTCAGCACTTCCATGCTCTTGTAAAGAACTAGTTTCAGGTACAGGTCAAGGTGCTCAGGACGAACAATGGAACGGAGTATGTGAACAACATTTTTGGGGCTTTCATGGCTGACCATGGGATTCTTCATCAAACTTCATGTCCGAACACCCCCCCTCAGAATGGAGTAGCCGAACGAAAGAATCGTCATGTTCTTGAGGTTGCTCGGTCGTTGATGTTTACCATGAATGTGCCTAAGTTCTTGTGGGATGATGCAGTTATGACAGCCACATACTTGATCAACCGGACACCTTCCAGGATACTTGGCATGAAATCTCCGTCTGAGTTGCTCGTTGGAGATAATAAGTTTGTTGTTCCGCCAAAGTTGTTTGGTAGTACCTGCTTTGTTCGTGATCACCGACCATCTGTTGGCAAGCTTGATCCTCGGGCAATGAAGTGTGTCTTTTTGGGATACTCGTCTAGTCAGCAGGGGTATAAATGTTGGTGTCCCTCTGAAAAACGCAGGTTTGTAAGTATGGACGTTACGTTCAGGGAGTCTGAGCCATTCTATGGTGAGCCGTCTGATCTCAGTCTGCTGTTTGCAGAGCTTGACCACCTACACCCTGTGCATGATGGTCAAGAGGGGGAGAAGGATGTGTCTCATACTCACGGGGATTCTGTGGACATTAACGCTGATAATGATGTGCAGGCTCAAGTTCAACCAATAGTGGGTACAATTCCGGTTAGTACCATCACTAATGATGATGTGCAGGCTCATGTTGAGCCAACTGTCGATACACTTAAGATTGGTGCTCTCCAGGTTCCTGTTCGGGATCGATGGCAGACGAATACCCTAGTGTACTCTCGATGGCAACCACAAGTGCAGGGGGAGTAGCAAGGCAGGGAGGCAAGAGTGCAGGGGGAGCAGCAAGGCAGTGAGGCAAGAGTGCAGGGGGAGCAGCAAGGCAGTGAGGCAAGCTCATCTGACACAGTGGAGCTGCCCATTGCGTTGCGAAAACCTACACGTGAAGCAGCAAGGAAGGGTGAGGTAGCAAGGAAGGCTCTGCCAAAGGATGATGCTTGTGATGACCTTGATATTGGCAATTTTGTGTCTTACAAGGCTTTGTCACCTTCATATAAGGCGTTTGTTGCCTCTCTGCAAACTGTGTCTATCCCTAAGGATTGGAAGGCTGCAAAGCAAGATCCGAAGTGGCGTGAATCAATGATAGAGGAGTTAGAAGCATTGAAAAAAACAAGACATGGGTGCTAACCACATTGCCGGCAGGAAAGAAAGCAGTGAGTTGCAAGTGGATTTTTACTGTGAAGCAGAATCCTGAGGGCAAGGTGGAACGGTATAAGGCTAGATTGGTCGCCAGAGGATATAGTCAAACTTATGGAATTGACTATGATGAGACATTTGCTCCAGTTGCAAAGATGAACACAGTACGGGTATTGGTCTCGTGTGCTGCAAACTTTGGGTGGAAATTGCACCAGTTAGATGTCAAGAATGCCTTCTTACATGGTGACTTGAAAGAAGAGGTATACATGGAGATACCACCTGGTTTTGGCATAGAACAGACTATGGGGAAGGTATGCGGGCTGAAGAAATCCTTGTATGGTCTGAAGCAATCGCCGAGGGCATGGTTTGATAGGTTCAGATGATCTGTTTGGAATATGGGGTATGGCCAATGTAATGGTGATCACACGGTGTTTTATAGACACATTGATAAGAAGATCACCATTGTTGCAGTGTATGTTGATGATATCACCATCACCGGAGATGATGAGGAGGAAATAAAGAGAGTGAAGGGGTGTCTGAGCAAGGAGTTTGAGGTAAAAGACTTGGGAAATCTAAAGTACTTCCTTGGCATAGAAGTGGCTTGGACAGAGAATGGAATATCTTTGTGCCAATGAAAATACACCTTGGATCTTTTGAGTGACATGGGCATGATGGGATGTCGTGCATCCCCTACTCCGATTGAACAAAATCATCAAATAACAGCACAATCAGGTGAGCTAGTGAATAAGGAAGATTATCAGAAGCTGGTTGGAAGGTTATTGTACTTGTGTCATACCAGGCCTGACATTACGTATGCCGTGGG